AATTGTGACCCAGTTTGAAATCAGTCTTTTCACCCATTCACATTTGAGATACAAATCAATTTGTAAGTAAGCATTGAAAGATATTTGCTTTTATCTTTAAGTGTACAATTTGGAGCTCAAATATCAATATTTTTCCTGGATTCCAATCATTTGGAAGAAAATAATAATTGTAAATATACGAGAGACTCGTGATAGGCTACTCTCATTGTCACATGATTACTCCCACGATAGAAAACCCTCCCGAAAGTAACGCTTGTTCCGATGAATCTGTTTTGTTCTGTGGATATTCTTCACCCAACGCTCACAATGCAGCTGAGCCACTTCGCCATCCAATCTGCGGTGAAAGTCTGCGGCTCTCGCGTAACTTGCACCTCCATGTACACGCTGCGTTGCTGCACGAAGAGGGAAACAGACTTCCAGCCTCAAAACGAAGATTAATTTGTATCTTTGGGTGTTCTCACACCTGTGCATGATTCTATTCGGGTCTCCCCTCTAGCCAAACCCAGCAGTAGTTAATTGTATTTTACAAACATGAAGAATAATGTGTGGGTGCACGGTAGGGATGTGTTCCCAGGTTTATTAATCCCAAAAATCTGAAGATGGGGCCTGGCTGTGAAATTAACAGATCATGCAAAAATGTGCCATCACGGGAAATGACTCAACTTTAGTCAGATCACTTCTGTGCTCATCCCACCAAGAGGGCAGTCGTGTGACGCCAGTTTCTGCGTGCCTTAATAAAATGTCAAAATATTTAGATGAAAATTACTGTATTAGTGATGCGAATGTAGCAAAAAAAATTAGATTCTATGGTTAACGCTTTAATTGTCATCATCACTGGCAGAGCCAGTGGGGGGGGGGGGGTGGCACGTGCCCCCCCCAATGATCCGATCGCAATCCTTAATTTCGATCAGATCATTGGGGTTTATTAGTAATAAATCGGCATTTTCCGAACCCCAATGCCACCATGTAGCATATGTTACGTGCTAGGGACTCTATGAGATGATAGGACAATAAACCGAGTCCATAATTGGCGATAAGTAACGGCAAAGCAGTTATAAGTGACTCACAGAATTGTGCGCAGTTGCGTACACAGTACACGACTTCCATGAAGGCATTCACCTTCAGCGAGCGCGATGCCGATCACACAACACGGTTCTAATTCGACCCTCGATCGATGGCTGCACCATCGCCGCACACGCGTCGAATAAAAAGCAAGGAACAAGTCCTCACTTACTAAGAACTCCTCTATCATTTTTCATTGATGGAGGGGTTGCCCCCCCCCCCCCCCACCTGAAAATCCTGGCTCCGCCATTGATCATGATGGTGACATTCGGTGCATAAGCAGTGCGAAATATTCAAAGTCAGTCAATTAAAATCCGAAAATACAAAATTCTAAATTAATCGGAAATTTGGCCTTAAAGAGTCTGAAAATGCGATATTCCAGATTATTAAATCTGACACTCACCACGGGCGCATAGTGCCCAGCGTGCGTCCCCTTAGAGGCACAAGCATCGCAAACGCTCACTCACTGCCCCCCCCAGCACGATCGTCGTTTGTATAAAGACGTACGGCGCATGTTGCTTGCATCGCGCCGTAGTTCTGGGGATTTACTGAAACCGCGGTGCGATGCTGAATGTGTACGGCACGATCTTGTAGGGGCGCTTACCACTTCAGGAAGCACGTCGTAATTCAAGATTTTCCCATTTCGTTTTCCTCAATAATTCAAACGCCAATGCAACGTCTGATTTAGCTGCATACAAACCCAATGTCTCTCGCTGGCGAAAGAAAGCTGCACCTCCTCCTTAATCATTATTGAATTTATCTCATGCATTATCAAAGTGCAGTGCTGAGCGTTGCTTTTTTTATTATTCGTACAGTCCGTTAACATTTATTAACGTTAGATCATCTACAGAGACGGAGAGTGGCTTGTGCTGGGGCAGGCCAGATAGTCGTGTTGTGACGATGCATCGATTTACATGCTGAATATCGATGCTTCAGCTTACGATATACACACCGAATCGCGGGTGTTAGAATCGGCAAAAAAAACTTACAAACAATAGCAGAAAAACAGGTGTTACGATGTTAAATCACCAAACTGAAACCTTTAACAATGAATCATGTCTGCATTAACCACAATGCTTGTGGTCAGAATGCAAACAAAAAAACATACTCTGATAATAGATGCACTGTCCTTGAAACTGATTGGTCTAACACCGTTTGAGACAAGGCTCAAAAGAAAGCTGTCTCTGGTGTGGACCAATTAGTTTTATATATTATCAGAGTATGTGTTTTTGTTTTCAGTCTGACCACAAGCATTGTGGTTAATGTAGACATGATTCCTTGTAAAAGGTTTCAGTTTGGTGTTTTAACATCTTAACACAGCTGTTTTGTTTCCAGAAAAAAGGGAAAAAACCCATGATCATATTTTGGTACTGACAAAGGAGGTCCCATGATGAAACAGCAGCGAGGTAGCACAGTCGCGACTGGGAATCATGATGACAGGCCATCGAATCGCTGTGGATGTGAATCACTCCATTGTGGGAGTTGACGTCAATTGCCAGGATCAAAAGACTTGAAAATTACGAAAAGTCACGTTTGTGAATAAACTGCCCAGAATAGCATAAATATATAACGTGTATAATCAGCGGCGAGTCGGGGAATGGCCCGTAATCTTACGAGAAGAATGGCCAATCCTCCATTCGGGAGGATGGTAATTGCCTCAAATGTGACCTATCATATTTAAATGTCGCTAATTATATATATCTTTGCCCCTCAAGGCAGCATTATTGTGCGCCGCTGCCAACGCAGTACTGTACCGCACAAATGTGTTTTGTTTCTTTTAAACAAAAATCACAACATCTGCCGTACAGTGGCCTTTGCATCTGAGCAACAGCAAACGGACCGTCGTGGGTCATCTCAATGCCTCGTATGCCAAGATCCGTAATAACCCCGTGATTGAGGACGACGGATAGATGAAAACTGTCTTCAACGTGAATGATTATTCTGCTCTTCCTCTTTCCTTGCAAAGTTCGCAACAACAACAACAACGAGGAATAATTAGCGCAGCTCAGGATTGTGAATAAATTATTATCGCTTACATGTAATGGTACTGTCAGCGTAAGTTACCTACAATTCACACAAATTACCCAGAAACGCTGCCAAGTTATGCAGCTCGCGAACCCCCTATTCATGGCGCTTTTAAGATATATTTTTTTCCCCTTCAAGTTAGAGTGATTTCTTTCTCAAATGACCACTGAGGCAGAGCTCAGTGTCGCCTTTACAGCTCTGAGCCAGTGCTCGACATTCCACATTCCTATGACGGGGAGGGTACTAGCATCGTGCATAACAACAATATGATATCTTCTTGGTCCTTTCGGTAAAGTCACGTAGAAGGGAAATAATAAAATAATAAAAATAAAACATAATAAAATACAAAAAATGTTACATTTTTATTATTTTATTTTTTCCCTTCTACGTGACTTTACCGAAAGAACCAAGAAGATGAATCCCTGCAGTCACGAAAGCTTTAAATCGAAACAATATGACATTTTCAATTAAGCATCGCCGAGTGCCAAAACTCTTTCAGGAGGGTACTGCGTTGGGATATTTCCTATTAAATAATTTACGAGCGTTCGGCACGCGGGAGGAAACCGGAGATTCCAGATAAACCCCATCTATCTCCTGGGCACCTCGCGACCCAAACCTACAACACCTGGCAAGCCCCAGTGGAGCAAGGGATAGTGATATGGGTTGGGGTAGTTATAGGGATTTGTGTTGGGGCAGGCCTGGTTGTAGCTGGGGGGCGAGAGGAGAGGGAGTAGCAGCAGGATGGGTGAGGGGGAAGAGATGGGTTTTGAGGGAGGAATGGAAGCAGGTTATTAATAGAGGCAAGATGATCGTTGTTGCACTGCGCGGATCGGTGGTTTCAGTCAAAAGGAGCTCGGCAAAGTTTCGTTCCTTGGGAGTTTATTTTACTTTCCAAAGTCCACGACTCAACGTGGCCAAACTTATCCTCTAAGAGGCGGAGACGAAAAACTTCTCTTACCCAATTTGTTTCATGCTGACAGCTGGGAAACGTCTTTCTCTAATTCGGATGTTATGTCTTCTTGGTATAGCACGCTCGCTATATGCTACACAGTAACTTTTAATTCCAGCCATTCTCAATCCATCAAAGGATGAAGACTTCCCCAAGTCATAGGGGTCTTGTTTTTTTTTACCATACTTCACCACGCTGGTCAGTGTGGGTTGCTAAAGCGGAGGCAGTGGGGGAGGACCGGTCCTGTTATGACTCGTGGCTGATGTGAGTAGCCACGGCTTGGGAATCGAACTCGGGTCGCCGGGTTCACAGAGCAGCTCAGGAGCTGTTGCGCCACTGGTTTAGAATATTATTTTTTTTATTATGAATTCCAGATGGTTCCGTTTAAATTCGAAATAAGTAATTCAAATCGAAAGCAACGAGGCTAAATATTAAAATGTGCGCACAAAAAAATAGAGAATTAACTGGTGAACCGCTGTGGATTGCCGCGGCAGATGACGACGCTGGGCACCCGTTAGGGGTGGCACGGCGCGCGAGGTGCCTCCCGATTGCCAAAGCTGATGGCACAGCAGCTCGGAATCATTTAAAGGGCCGTGTCGACCGAGCGGGACCCCCCCCCCACCCAATCCCGCTCTAGGGATGAGCTCAGTTACCGCATTGCCATTCACGTTATCCGCGACCGGCAATTGACCCCGGGTTTGACAGCACAGCCGATGAACCGCTGGGTTACTGCGCCCCACGGCCCCACACTGAACGCAAATACACAACTACCCTCCATAGGGCCGTACAAGGCTGCTGGGGCAAGTGGTGTTAGCGAGCACCTCCGATTGGCGCGGTTGGCTATGTACGGTGCGAAAGAAGTTCAACATACATACACATATGACGGCGTGCGCACACAAACGCACACACACACACACACAAAGGTCCCGGGTTGGTAGCGCAGCGCGCGCACGCACACACTCACCTGCTGCATCTTCTCAAAGTTGAGGCTGGGCCTGCGGGCCGGGTCGGCCAGCGTGGCGTGAGGTCTGCGCACCACGACCACTGCACCGCCGTCTCCGCCACCGGCATCACCACCGCCGCCGCCGCGCGCCTCCGGCCGGAGGAACGCGGCGAGCGGCGGGTCGGGGGCCGTCGCCAACGTCCGCGCCGCCGCCGCCGCAGCCGCCGCCGTCCGGCAAGGGTGCTGCTGCCGCAGCGGCTGGAAGGCGGCGGGCACGCCGCGGTGCGGGTCCCAGCCGGCCCACGCCCTGGCGGTCACCAGCGCGCAGCGGCCGCCGGGCCGCCCGCCGGCCTGGGGCCACGTGTGGTAGCAGCCAGGAGCCCTCCTCTCCTGCCAGCCGCTTGACGCCGGCACCGCCGGCACCGCCCGGTCCTCCAGCAGCCCCAGCCGGTTCTGGCACTCGGCGCTCGGCTGCAGCAGCTGCGGGGGGCGGCGGTGGGTTTGGGTGAGATGTTAACACCTCGCCTGGTATACAGGAGGTCGTGGGTTCGATCCCGACCCGGACGCCTGATGTATATTTCGAGTTTGCATGTCTCTCTCTCATCATCATCACGGTGGCTATGATGTTAACTACCTCGCCTGGTATACAGGAGGTCGTGGGTTCGATACCGACCCTGATGCCTGCTGTATATTTCGAGTTTGCATGTCTTTCATCATCATCACGGTGGCGAGGAGATGTTAACTACCTCGCCTGGTTTACAGGAGGTCGTGGGTTCGATACCGACCCTGATGCCTGCTGTATATTTTGAGTTTGCATGTCTTTCATCATCATCACGGTGGCTAGGAGATGTTAACTACCTCGCCTTGTACACAGGAGGTCGTGGGTTCGATACCGACCCCGATGCCTGCTGTATATTTCGAGTTTGCATGTCTTTCATCATCATCACGGTGGCTAGGAGATGTTAACTACCTCGCCTGATCCACAGGAAGTCGTGGGTTCGATACCGACCCGGACGCCTGCTGTATATTTGGAGTCTGCGTGTCTCTCTTTCTCCGGGGTCGTGTGGATTTTTCTCCGGGTCCTCTAGTTTTTCTTTCCACATTTGGAATCGTGCGTTGGGGGTATTCGGCTGCTATGAATTTCCACGTGATGAGCCGCTTCGTAGAACTATCAATTGTGGCCAGGTCGCTTCTGAAAAAGAGCTGTATAGCTCAGGTGGGCCTTACAATGGTAAAATAAAAAAAATGTTTTCAAAAAATTATAGTTTGCTTCCCGCACGTCTGGTTGGCGGGGAAGAGTAGGCCAAATCCCTCGAGAACCCCATTCCTCGTGTGGAGCGTGCTCCCGCAGTGGGGTGAGCACCGCCGATCAGCACGGTTGGCTACGTACGGTGCGAAAGAAGTTTAGCGTACGTACAAGTTCTTGCAGGGCCGTGAGGTTTACCCTCGTAATTGGTGGACCGTTAATAGTTGACACTCAGCTCGCTTGCTTCAAGGTGGGACGCAGCTCACAAAGACAACCGGCTGTTTTATTTCATGATGTTTTTTTATGAATTCAAAAGAAAGGTTTAAAGCTTCAAGTTATTAGCTCCGTCTGTCTAGACGGACGGAGTGGCCAAGAAAATTCCCGTCAAGATGAAGCGATCCGGGAATGAAACCTGAAGTGAAAAGCCGTGTTCTTATCGGGGAATTATAATCCCACGTGAAACGTTGCCCAACTGGTCAAATCATTGCCCCCTGCTTCTAACAAGTCAATATCTGTTGGCATGATATCAACATTTAAGTACTGCATGAGTCTTATTTAACATCTAGATAAAAAATGCAAATGTGCACCCCTGCAATTATTCGCTCATGCCACTGCTGGTGCAACGGCCTCCTCCAGAGGGAACTCTAGCGGGTATTTGGCCTACTCTTCCATATACGCGTCACGTGTCTTAAAAGAGACTGAAGTACCCACACTTCACCCCACCGCACGCGACCGACTAATGTCTTCTTCTTCTCGTCATAGGGCTCATGATATAGATGCAACGACTTCAAGTTCACATGCAGACGGTCAAGCCAGGTAACCGCGTCAAGAAGCAGTCGCGGAGTCTCGTATCGCCGCGATGTCTCCGTCGTATTTGTGGATCGGGGCATTGCGTCGTCACATGCTGCACGGTCTGTCCCGGATGATCACAGTCACGGCACACTACGACTGGAGAGCTTTTACATTTTCCGTTTTTGTTTCCAAGTCGTCTAACTGTGGCCCTACCCATTCACATTGCTGGGTGGGCAGGGGCAGAGGGGGAAGACGTGTACGGAAACTTGACCAATGTGTCGACTGCCTCGGCGGGCAGAGGTCTCATCGTTGACCTCGCGATCGAAAGTGCCGTGGTGGCAACCGATGCAGCGCGCCCTTTGGCGTTCGCCACGCTTTAAAAACGGCTTTCAGACGCGCGCTGTGAAATCGTTGAGACACTTTGCAAAACGTCCCTGCGCTTTTTCAAACACGCACGTAATAACAACAACCGTCACGACGCTTGTGCCAGTCTATGCGCACCTTGAGGCCACGTGAAGTGTCGAAATACGCACGCGCGCGCGCACACGGCCGTTTGGATAAACATTCGCTGAGCTTGCAGTTCTTTATGTTTTAACCCTGGGCAACGTTTAAATCCTTACACGTGCGTCTCAGAAGCACTTTAATTCAGTGCGTGGCCGTAGCAAGTGATGCACAATTAGACGTGACGAATGACAGGAAGGCTGGCCTACCTCCTTGTAATGGGTTGTCCTTTGGCTCAAATCAGCTCCCGTCGGTCTGCATGGAAGGCACCGTAATTTCCTTCTCTCTGCAAATAATAAGAAAGAAAAATCACGTACACGGATGGATTATGTAACATTTTCCAACAGGCGTTTGTCCTCTAAATTGTACAATAGTTAGTTCTAGAAGTCGATGGGTAGCAGTCAGGGCAAAACGTGTATGACTATTTGGAAATACTGAAGTTCGTTTTGCCCTGTTTTATGCCTCCCAAGTTTAATTATTTTGGCTGGTTTTCTCAAGAACAAGTCCCGAATAGCAAAGCAACTTTACACTGAAGTTGTCTTCATGTTGGAAAATGTTTTTTTCCGAGACTTATTATGACCTCATCTTACAGACAGACGGAGAGACAGAGATAATGCGTGAAAGCTTTCAACCTTAGTCAGAAAGCGTTAATAAAATGAATAAAATATGTTAAGTGAATTCACGAATAGAGCAGTACAATGGAAAGCATGTTTATTTATTAACGATAGGCGAGGCAAGGCTGAGTGAAGACGATAAATAGCGACTCATAGTCGGCCAGCTCGGCAAGACAAACTCGCTGTCCTTCAGAAGGGAACATTAATCAGTTCATTCATTAGCATCCTTTATTAACGGCGAAGCGAAAATCCCAATTTAAACCGTGGGGTTTTTTTTTTCTTCCCCAGTCAAACTTGGCGTGAACGAGCAAACAGATCTACAGCCAGTGATCAATCCACTACTCCAGCGGTCGGGAACCTATGGCTCGCGAGCCATATATGGCTCTTCCAGTGACGGCATATGGCTCCCAGACAATTTTGAGTTGAAAAAAAAATTATAATGAAAAAAATCAGTTTGGAACTGATTTAAAATACTTGTGATATTGCTTAATAATACTGTGTCATTTAAAACTAAACAGAAATCCGTTTTGAAGATAAATTTCACGGGTCACGCCTGCATGAAGCTCAACCTCACCACGTATGAACCAGACAACAAGGCCATCAGCAAAACCATGCCTAGCACCAGAAGTCGCATTAAAAGTAAGACATATTTAATTTATTATACGTTAAAATACTATATGGCTCTCAATGCAATATATTTAGAAATATTTGGCTTTTATGGCTCTCCCAGTCAAAAAGGTTCCCGACCCCTGCACTACTCGGTTGTCGGCTTCCCACAATCCAGTGCTGTTCGCGGGGGGGGCAGGGGGGCTATTTGGCCATACATCACCGCGCCGAGATAAAACGAAAGCGAGGCGTGGAAATGAAGCATCGAAAGCACGAAACAAAACGCGGTCGAGAGCAATGCAACCCGGACGGACGAATTCAAACAAAAGCGAACGGCGCGTGAACCTTCGCTGCTGCTCAAAGCACATCGCAGTCAATGGACTCGCCGACGATTTTGGGTTGAAAAAAAATTCGTCAAACTCCCAAGAAGAAGGCTCGAGGTACGAATTCCCATTTCAAAAACATTCCCCGTACAGCTATAAAGGAGTGCTGCTTGCAAGCGTACATCACACACTGGCAGACTTACAATAAGGAGTGCGACCCGTACAAATACGAATGGCAACCTTTGTCTGTCCAGTGTCTGTGTCTCCCCGACGGCGCTGAAAAAGACCTACGGGTGGCCCATGGCAGGCTCACGCCATGTGCATGACGACGATGTTTGAACCTGGGTCAGTGGAATTGCGTGCACGGGGTTTAACCACCGGTCGTGTCTGCTGCCAAGCTCCCAGTCAACGCACCCAAGATGTTGCTGTCGGAGCACAGGCTCCTTGAAGAAGTTAAAAGGGAAAGGAGCAGCCCTGCAATGTCTCAATCACTGCACTGCTGGCTGGACGGCGTCTACTGGGGGGTGGGCGTATACGCGTTTGACCCCACCGTGCTTGACCCCACCACGCTTGACCCCACCGCGCTTGACCCCACCACGCTTGACCCCACCACGCTTGACCCCACCACGCTTGACCCCACCACGCTTGACCCCACCACGCTTGACCCCACCACACTTGACTCCACCGCGCTTGACCCCACCACGCTTGACCCCACCACGCTTGACCCCACCGCACTTGACCCCACCACGCTTGACCCCACCACGCTTGACCCCACCACGCTTGACCCCACCACGCTTGACCCCACCACGCTTGACCCCACCACGCTTGACCCCACCACGCTTGACCCCACCACGCTTGACCCCACCGCACTTGACCCCACCACGCTTGACCCCACCATGCTTGACCCCACCACGCTTGACCCCACCGCACTTGACCCCACCGCACTTGACCCCACCGCACTTGACCCGCGCATCACTCCCTATCGAAATTAACACTCTAAACGCCTCCGCAAAATGTTGATTAAAAAGCCATAAATATGGTGAACTTGTGATCCGTACGTGTATGTACATTGAACTTCTTTCGCGCCGTACGTAGCCAACCATGCGAATCGGAGGTACGAGCTATTGTTGTGCTCTTCATGTCGTAAGGAGTTGTGCGAAGGGGATTAAAATCGTACGTGCTTTTTTGTGAAGAAAAATAAATCCTAGTGTCTGAAACAGTTTCGCAGATCGCCGTCAAAGATTGCCCGAAACTTGGAGCTGCGAACCTGAGTAAAAGGACTACTTGCAAATATGAAAAATATTTTTTTTACGTCATGAGCTCCTCATTGGCTTTCACAGCACTAATTAAAACACATCTGGAGATAGAGGCACGTTGGAGAGTGTCACAGCAATCCGCCCGTAAGCACGATTTTTCCCCAACTTATTTCACGAATCAATCGCGCACATTGTCTTCCACACAAGGAAAGCGTAGAAGCTTGCTCAAGGTGCAGTAATTATTTAGATATCTTGGACACGTATAAATCTCCTTTGCAAATCCACTCGCTTAGATGATGGCTTACCCACGAGGATATGATGAGCAGCGATATGCAGAAATCAAACCTCTACAAACCGCAAGCCTCTACAAACAAGCCGAAATAGAATTCAACCTTTTGCAGAATCTGTGCTAAAATTCGACGACCAGAGCATCATACATACTTCATTATTAATACCGGCTCTGGCGCATTTCAGAAATTGAATCAACGACCGCAGCAGCTGACACTGCTTCTCAAAAGCATCCCGTGCAGCGCCGGGTGCGATCTATAAGACTAATTTCCATCGTGTCTGACCGATGACTAATTTGTGTGTAAAAATAAAAGTTGTATCGCATTCCATGTGGTAGAAATTTAATTCGCCCTCGTCATCAACAGCAGCCAACGATTCATCCACTGCTGCAGGAAGGCCGCACACACGATGCCATGTGATCCGTCTCTCTCCTTGCACCCGGGCTAATCTCATCGCTCCACCTCCACGGCGGTCATCCTCTCTGGAAATGTCCTCCGTCGCCTGCCGTTCCGTCACAAGTCTCTCCCAATCGGCCACCGCGTGCCTTCTAGCGACGCGTCCGCATGCGCAAACCCACTTTCTTTTCTTAACGGTCAACGTCATCCATAACACAGGTTTTTTTTGGGGTTAGATCACGTAAATATATACATGTGTAGTTAAACCCGCCACCACCCGACACAGCGAATGAGGCGACAGACAGATTTGTCGCCTGATGAAGCTAGTTGTTAATTACCGGCGAAATGTCGCGATACTCGGATTGTAAATGTTGTGGCTTAGCTCTCCAACACACAACCGGTGTGCTGTGCTAGTGACGAATTGGCCATGTTCTGTTCACGTGACAACCCTTACTAGTTGGCTGTGTCGGGTAATGGCGGGTTTAATGACGCATTTATATATTTACGCAATCTAACCCAAAAAAACCTGTATTATGGATGTTAGTCGCGAAAACTTACGTGTTAAACTGGTCAACGTGATGTTTCTAATTCGTATTTCCCCCCGAGGATCTGCACGCTCCTTTTTCTGTGTGTCAGTGTTAATTCCCAGCATGCATCTCTCCACGCTTCTTTGGAACAAAAGCTGAAAATTGCAGTTTCCCTTTCAAATATTATTGCAGTTAATCTGCACGGATAGAATAAGATATCTTTAGGCGCACTGATGAGTTTCTATTGTGAAATTAAATTTTGCAAAAGCACTCCAACCTTGCTTTCGCTTACCTCTTTATTTAATAAAAAAAAATGTATCCCAGCCAGCCTTTAATAACTGCACTGGATCATTGATCTTCTGTTGTATTTTCCAATTGTGTCCCACCAACAATTATGGTCCTCTGTTCATTACAAAGTACAAGGGTTGTGCATTCCAAAAAAATATGATTGAAGAAAGAGAGAATCACAAAGGTAAATGGAGAATGTTGTAACTGCCGATGATTTACTGAACACACAGTCATTATAACGAGCAATGGAAATGACCTACGGGAGATTACTGAAGAACTTAACAAGGACAACTCGGCTAAAGATACATATTAGCAAACAAAATATGAAAAACAAGTTCGATGAAATTTTTTTAAAATAAAATTTTGGAAGGGCGCAACTTAAGTGTGAATGACATGAAAATATATGCAGGTGGCTATGTATGATCATTCCCCGGAGCAGCGTTCCGGATTGTTCCGGTTGAAATGAAGCGCCGATGAGACCACGGGCGATGCGAGGTGGCGATCGGGAGAAGAGGCGTTTATCTGCACCTCGGTCGATCTGTGCCAGTTCCTGGTTCTCCTCCTCAGAGTCCGAGTCTCCGCTGCACAAACGCGTCACCTGGAGGAAAAGATGGGGAGGGGGGCGGGGGGAACCAAAAACATTGGCATGAGAGTTCAGGGTGAAGCAGGCTGAGATGTGACGTGAACACGAGGGAGACGTGCGGCAAGCCTTGGCTGAAGCTAACACAGAGAGTCTTGAGTGTTCGCTGCACAAATTAGAGTCGCTTGTAACAATCCGCCGAGCAGTGCGAGAGCGCTGAGGTGGGGCGCGGTGAAGGAGAATCTCCATTGGGGTTTCAAGGGGGACCGGTGGCCCAGATAACACTAAGGCACGGATAATGAACAGCATATGTGTAATTGATTACGGCAATGTCCGTTATCGAGGACACATTTTTTGTTGTTGTTCTTCCTCCGCACCTCCGATCATCACGGTTGTTTACGTATGGTGCAAACGAAATAAAACAAAAAACCCCACCTCGAATCGGAAGCCCTTCTGCCAGCAGTGGCGTGGGCAAGCAATTGCAGGGCTGCGCCTTTGCTTCAACGTGCTCATGTTCATTACACCCCAAACCGTGCCTGAGAAATGTCACCACCGTCGTTGGCTCTCAACGCTTCCGAGCAAACACAACAACGGTTTCCGAAGCGTACGTGTATAACGCACTAACTCGTGGCCTGCCCTCCTCTACGATTCGCTACCTCTCTTCTTGGCAAACCTCGTGGTCCAATTCCGATTTGCCCAAACACGCGTTTAAAGTAACCGGGACGTAGGACATCTTGGCTGGAGGACCGAAGCAATCAATTGAAATTGAATGCTTCCCCAAGCACTCGTGTGCACAGTTATAACTGCCACGTTTTCAGTGAATGGCCATAACTGTTTTCGGTTGTGTTGACAATTATCCCATCCACGTGATCTCAGGTCAACCGATCGCAGAGCTAAGGAAACGCACGCATAGGTGGATGTATGGCAGAATGTCAAACTTATAATTGCTGCATAAACAGGGGTGGGGAAACATATCATTACGGAGGGCCGAATGGGACTTTCTAGTGCCTTTGGCAGTAGGCCACAATTAACACACACACGCATTAACACACACACGCATTAACACACACTAACACGCACACACACATTAACACGCACACAGAGCTCCCAGTCACTTCTGTCACTGTTAGAGGCCATTGCACTGAAGTGACCGAAGTGACGGATCACGCTCCAACCAAGCAGAACGCCGTGTTGTTACGAGGTCGATAACACTGCCCTGCAGTACCCGATTAGTGCAGCTAAGATGTTCGCAGGGCGCGCCTCCGATTAGCGGGGTTGGCTACGTACGGTGCGAAAAAATTCCAACGTACATCCGCGCATACATCTGTAGAGGTGTTACGTAACGGGGAGAAACGGGCAGTTACACTGGGGTGTCTACATCCACGTCCGCAAACGGTTACCACCCTGGGGGGGGCTGTGTGGGGGGGGGGGAGGCTGGGATCCCACACAGCCCCGCCCCTCGAGGGCATGTTGGTATATAAGGCGGAGAGCGAGAGAGCTCGAGGCAGTTGTTGTTGGGTACAGATCAAGATGAAGAGCCAGTGAAGACTGTAGGCCAGCTAGCTAAACCTGGAACTACCCTGACTCGCTGTTCTTGTAAGAGCCGAGCAGGGCAAGCCAGTGGGCGACCTCAGAGCAGCGAGGTCTGATGTCCTTGTAAGGGCAAGACTCGTGTGGCTTAGGGTCAGAACCTGCGCCGAAGCTGGGCCTGGTTAGCCAGCCTACATTTGGGGAAGGTCTGGGATAGAGGGAAGTAGGGAGTTAACGAGGAGCGTTAGCTGGGGAACACTTCCTCTAATAGACCGGGTGAAGAGGCCGATTCCTCTTCGAGTGTTAGAGTCGTTACTCTGCTGTATTGAGAATAATTGTAATAAATACGTGTTGCCTCCATCAACTTCTACTGCGTCACATGCGCCCGTTACACATGCAGCGAAGTGGACATCCGATTTGTTTCAGAGTGGCAGGAGTCACGGGGCCATGGTGCATATGGGGAAAATAGAAGGCACGGGCCACGATTCGAACTTCCCCACCCCTGGATGAGAGTGCCAACACGGAGGAATAATCAGGACACGATGTAACGCTTATAACATTTGGCGTTTTGTCGAGTCCGTGCCCATTTATTTGTGTTGTAGAACAAGGAAGACGTCCTGCGGATCGTTCATTGAACTGTCCCGTTGTTTTATTAAGACAAATGAAGCAAGAGAAATAACTCCCCCGAGGCATGGCACGAATAATTTATGAAGGAATTATTGTCACATTAAGGAGGCTGGATTGAATCAGACATCTCGATGATGTCACGGTAAAAGTTATTAGCATTCTCTCGCTGCACATTTCGGGGCGCCGTGGCTGAGCCATGTTCGTGTTATCTGAGAGGCTCTGGGGCTACTCATTGGCATTTCGTAGCTGGGTACAGAGAGCTGATGATCTGTAACGAAGGTAAAACAATCTAACTATCTGATTCTTGCGCTCACAATACACACATCGAATAGCCCATGTAAGAATTCATCGTGTACAATTCATGCACATGATAGGTAGATTTTTCATGTAGGCCAAGTAAACAAAACTGTACAAAGTGATTTTTTAAAAAACATCTAAACGAGGTGATAATAACGAGCCAAAGAGGAAACAAGTCGTGATTCCAAGTCGCGACAATTTTTTTTCTTCTAAATAATATTACAATATAAGAAAAATTCACGAAATTAAAATCACCGCAATATCACTTTCCCGTGCTTTAGTAATTATAGTTCACATTTGTGTTGTTTAGTTGTTTGCTTCTAAACTAAAAAGGAAGCTTTTTATTTTACCAGGTAAGGTCCACTGAGCTATTTCGCTCTTTTTCAGAAGCGACCTGGCTACTAATGATAGCTCAACGAAGTGGCTTATCATCACGTGGACATTTACAGCAGCCAAATAAGCATGCTTCTAAATGTGGAAGGGGAAACAGGAGGCCCCGGAGAAAAATCAACGCGACCACGCGGAGACAGAGAGACACGCAAACTCCAAAAATACAGCAGCAGGCGTCAGGGTCAGGATCGAACCCACAACCTCCTGTATACCAGGCGAGGTAGTTAACATCTCCTAGCCACCGTGATGATGATGAGAGAGAGAGACACGCAAACTCCAACTATACAGCAGCAGGCGTCAGGGTCAGGATCGAACCCACGACCTCCTGTAGACCAGGCGAGGTAGTTAACATCTCCTAGCCACCGTGATAATGATGAATAGAGAGAGACACGCAAACTCCAACTATACAGCAGCAGGCGTCAGGGTCAGGATCGAACCCACGACCTCCTGTAGACCAGGCGAGGTAGTTAACATCTCGCCGCCGTGGTGACCTTCATCGCTTCAGTAAACAAGAGAAGTCGTGTTTACGCAAGTAATGAAGGTTACTTAAAAAGTTTTCCAACCGCAATTCTCTCCGCATAAGTGTCCCACGTGGTCTCTCTATAATCGTTGCAACGTTACGATCTAAAACGCCACCAGTTACTCGGAAAAACGTTCTGCACAGCACGAGTTTATCGCCATCTGTTCGGAACTTTAATTGCCGTTGATATTTCAATAAGATCTTCACTGTACGGCGGATATTGCACAAAATCATTAATTTGCATCGGAAATAGTCAGCCAAGGAAATGAAACCGAAAGCTATATTTGTATATCTTGTGAAAAAAAATTCGCGGCGATAATTATCACGAGACGGGAATTGTGCAAAATGAGCGCGGCGGTTGCAGCGGAGGGTCGAGCGCGCGGCGCATCCCGGAATCGACAAATCTCGGCGGCCCGAGATTGTCGACCGCCCATGCGACGCCTCTCAAGATTCTAGATTTGAAGCTTTGGTGACTGCAAGGATTAATATTTTTAGGTTTGTTTCGGTAAAGTCACGTATGTAAAAAAATAAAATTAATAAAAGTAAAATAAAAAGAAAAGAAAATCACGACGTTTCGGAGGCAACACAAGCTTCCGTCTTCAGGTGCAACCGTCACAGCACGATAGCTGTATCAAGTGTTTTATTTTTTTTATTTTACTTTTATTCATTTTAATTTTTTACCTACGTGACTTTACCGAAACAATCTAAGAATTTGCCTCTCAAAATCTATCGCTGTGAGAATCGGGCCGTGGGTTTTTTCTTTTTCTTTCACCGAGCGAACGTTCATATTTCAGTGGAAACCGTTGCTTGTACTCTGCGTGTGCGCTGCATTCACGTGATGGCGAGTGCCCCTGCCCCTGCCGCACGACAACATTTGCATAGATTTGACGCTTGAATTAATAACCACTGTCGCTCTGTAATGCTGCCGGGCATTGCCAATGTGGGCCAACTGTCATATTGCTGAAGTTAAACACCCTGTGACATTTCTTGACTGCAGGGATTCATCTTCTTGGTTCTTTCGGTAAAGTCACGTAGAAGGCTGCTTGCATTGTGGCCGAAACGTCGTGAGAATTATTTTATTATGTTTTATTTTTATTATTTTATTACTTCCCTTCTACGTGACTTTACCTAAAGAACCAAGAAGATAAACACGCTGTGACATTTAATGGTCACAATTGACAGGTTTGTGAAAAAAAAAAAATCCATAAATAATAAAATAAAATAGGTTCATCATCGGTAGTTGACGGGGTAAAGTGTGGGTACTCTAGTGATTTCCGATGTGTGTGGCCAGCGTGGAAGAGAAGGCCACATGCCCTCTCAAGGATATGAAGGGTGTTTAGAGGGGCTCTCTATGAGATGATTGTGACTCTTGTATAGGCACGGCCCTTTTGTAAATCCGCTGCTGCTGAATGAGGCCATCTCTACGCCGAGCAGGTCGTGCGAGTTATTTGACCATACTTCACCATGCTGGTCAATCTAGATTTGACCAGAAATTGAAGGAGTGTCCCCTATTAGCCAGTTAATTTGCATAACCTCCCGGGATGATGTAAGCCGAGTTTCAGGAGCGATGCATTTTAACGGTCTTGACACCGCAACCACCACCACCACCAATAACTGCACTCAAAATTAAATCAAAATTGGTTTCGCTCATGCA